TATATATATATATATATATAGATATATATATATATATATAGCTATCAAAAGCATCACACTGATTTCAGACAACTACTGAAATCGGTTTTTCAAGCTACACCTCATTACATTAAGACTAGAAGTTAGAAGTAGGTGAGGTGATACAAATATCTGGAATTTTATGTAATTCGTCCAAAAATAAATGTTTAATCCCAAAGGCATCTCTAATGTGATAAAACCAAATCACACAAGAGATTGTTCCTTAATCAAAATAACTGATGGAATAAACAAAGACACATAAAAAGGTACGCAGACTTCAAAATGTACAAAACAAAGTCTGGACATTGGTTCTAGTTAGAGGGCATGTAAATGATCAATCCTGACAGGCTCAGATCTTAAAGTGTTTAACACAAAGATCAGAGATTTACATCAAATATGGAATCCGACATCTATTGGTGTTGATATTTGTATATTTACCTAACAGATCTGTGGCTGCTGCCTTTACTAACACCATCTGCTCAAAGTGAATACAGACCACCATCTCATCCTCCTCCATGTCTTTTATTTTAATCAGTTTCTTTTCCAGTCAAATGAGAGAGCAGGTTTTAAAAGGATGAAAAAATTATTTTCCAAATTGATTCCAAGACATAACATTGTCCCATTCATTTATCAGCAAACCCACATCTCATCAAGTTTAATTATTAAAATCATTATTAATAGATGACTTTGATCTTCTTCCATTGCTCTTGAGTCTCCACATCTTTATCAGTTTAAATGCTGTTTAACTCCTGTTTCTTTCCTAATACATTTATCCAGCACCTTTGAAAGATCAAGGTGTAAATTTCATTTTTTTTTTGTGACTTTTGCAGCCATCAAGCAGTAATCTTTTTACAAAATAACGTATCTGGAAACACGGGGGGGGAAAAAAACATGAAAAAATTTCCATCGTCATATTTTCCAATTTCTGCTTCTGGCTCTGGACTAAAACCTAAGTGGAAGCAAACAGTGTAACAAGAGATGTTATCTGAAAACAAGAACCTAGAGGATTGGATTAAAGCCTCAGTTTCAGCTCATCAGAGAGGAAAACTTAGATCTTTTATTTGTTTTAAATTGAAATACATCTCTACCATTTTCTTATATTAACCCAGCTCCTCCTGGTGTGAATTTGCCTCCTCTCCTGCTGTGAAGCACCCTGCCAGTTCATTGGTCAGTCTGTGCATCTGTCCTTTCCACAGAACGTGTGTGGGCTGTCCTGATTGGCTGCTTTCTGGTGGATAAACAAAGCTGGAGCTGAGTTCTATGGCCATGGCTGAGCGGACCAATCCGACCCTGCCCAAGCGCTCAGGGCCGGGATGATAAACCCGACCGCTGACAGGATGCATGTACAGAGCCTCTGGCTGGAAAGGAACGAAGAGCTTCTCAGCACCGCCACAATACGACAGCAGCTCCTGGTCTCCTGCTGCGTCCTGCAGGAAGTGGGTGAAAACCACCGGTCGGTCGTCGCAGCGCAGGAAGTTTCTCTCTCTACCACACAGAGACAGGAAGGGAAAATCCTCCCTATAACGCCCACTCCGATTCATCTGCAGGCGACTGAAGAAGAAAACCAGGAACTTTTTATCTGAAAAATTAAATGTATGCATCAGATGCAGAAAATGATTATATAAATGAGATCTATATTTAAAGGCAAACCACAAATTTAGCTGTTGGGCATTTGAGTTTAAGTGCGCTTTACAAATACAATTTAACTTAAGAAAGAAAAATATAAAAAGGTCTATCAATAATATGTGGGGTCTCAAGTTCAGTGGATGGTCTATAACTGGTTCAATTCCAAAGATCTAAAAGAAAAAAAAAAACCTTTATGAGTAAATGGCATCAGGATCTTTTTCAAAATACCAGGACAAAAACATAATAATAATATTTTCCTGGGTATTGGTATCAAGTTTGGGAACTCTGATTCAATCAAGCGACCTTTAATTAAGTAATCTTATCACATAAGTTATTATTTTTCAAGGTAGACTCAGGGAATAAGTCTANTCATTGGTCAGTCTGTGCATCTGTCCTTTCCACAGAACGTGTGTGGGCTGTCCTGATTGGCTGCTTTCTGGTGGATAAACAAAGCTGGAGCTGAGTTCTATGGCCATGGCTGAGCGGACCAATCCGACCCTGCCCAAGCGCTCAGGGCCGGGATGATAAACCCGACCGCTGACAGGATGCATGTACAGAGCCTCTGGCTGGAAAGGAACGAAGAGCTTCTCAGCACCGCCACAATACGACAGCAGCTCCTGGTCTCCTGCTGCGTCCTGCAGGAAGTGGGTGAAAACCACCGGTCGGTCGTCGCAGCGCAGGAAGTTTCTCTCTCTACCACACAGAGACAGGAAGGGAAAATCCTCCCTATAACGCCCACTCCGATTCATCTGCAGGCGACTGAAGAAGAAAACCAGGAACTTTTTATCTGAAAAATTAAATGTATGCATCAGATGCAGAAAATGATTATATAAATGAGATCTATATTTAAAGGCAAACCACAAATTTAGCTGTTGGGCATTTGAGTTTAAGTGCGCTTTACAAATACAATTTAACTTAAGAAAGAAAAATATAAAAAGGTCTATCAATAATATGTGGGGTCTCAAGTTCAGTGGATGGTCTATAACTGGTTCAATTCCAAAGATCTAAAAGAAAAAAAAAAACCTTTATGAGTAAATGGCATCAGGATCTTTTTCAAAATACCAGGACAAAAACATAATAATAATATTTTCCTGGGTATTGGTATCAAGTTTGGGAACTCTGATTCAATCGAGCGACCTTTAATTAAGTAATCTTATCACATAAGTTATTATTTTTCAAGGTAGACTCAGGGAATAAGTCTATGGTGGCCCAGAGGTGTCAACACTAATACAAAAAGCTGCAACGCAAATACAGAAGCCACAACGGAAATATAAAACTACAACGGAAGTCACGCAACAACTGGTTGTTATACATGACACAAGAAGAAGAAGCTGACCCAAAAAAAAAAAAAAAACAATGAATAAGGGCCACCCTATAAGTCAAACCTAAATGCAAACAAGTCAATTTACAAATAAATTTTAAAATGCCAGGATCAGAAATAAACAACCACATTAGGATTGTTATACACTGGTAAGACATAAAATCGTATATTTCAAAAATATTACTCTATAGGAAGATATTCCAGTCTAAAAAAAATGACCCATAACGCCACACTTCGTTCACCTGATAAACAGAGGAACACACTCCACCACTAGAGGGCAGTATAGAGATTATTATTATTATTATTATTATTATTATTATTATTTTTTTTTTTTTTTTTTGTCCCCCAGACTCATTAAATTGGCTGGTAACGATAAAATAATAGATTTTATGAATTCACTTTCAATATTTTTGTCCTGTTTATCATTTGTGTACTCTACATGCTGTTATCAGATGTGTTATATTTTCCTATTTTCTTAATTTTATTTTGCCAAAGTAGTGACACTGGACATGGCAATTAGAGGCTAAAAAATATCTAAAATGGTGCATATTTGCTCTCTGAGCAAATGTTTTTATCAGTAAATGCTCCCAGATGAAAAAGAAATCAAGATAATGGGAAATTGATATAACTGTTAATGAAAGAGAAAATGTACATTAACCTCAGATTGACAGACAATAATCCAGCTCTACTTAGATGAACTGTCTGGCTGCAAAGATCCATAAAAGATAGATAAAGATACAGCTAAAGAATTTAACAGTTTATTAAACCCCTCAGCTTGAATATATGTGATCAAACTGAACAAAAACAAGAGGTTCTCACCTTTAAAGCAGGTGACAAAGTTCTTCACTTTGGTGTCATCGAGAAAAAGCTGCAAACATCACAGAATAGAGCTAATGAACAACTGGACTGCACTTTATTTGCTTCCTTATATTTTAGCTTTCTTGGTGTGTTTAGTTACCTGTCCCTGATGGTCGATGTAGTAGAAATACTCCCTGATGCGGGGCTCGGGGCTCTGACCCTGAATGTAAGCAGCGATGCTTCTGGAGGTGATGCTGTAGCCGCCTGGGAGACATCGGAGAAAGCTCAGAGCTCTGCAGCTCCGAGCCGCAAAAGGTAGAAATAACATGACCGCTATGGCAAAGCCCAGATGCTCCGGGTTAAAAGCGGGACATAAAGACGGTTGTTGCTGTAAACATGAGAGTGTTAGCGCACTAAAACCGTGTATTCATGGGTTTGTTTACACAAGTTTACAGAGGTGCCCCGGAAGTGTTTGTAGACCTGTATAGGAGCTACTGCCCCCTGCTGGACAAAATTAATTTTATATTAAAAAGTGTGCCCTCTGCTGAAAAGATTGTTCATTACAACTAAAATACGCCTGGTTCAATACATTACAGATACAAGGTTAGAACTAAATGCTGCATTAATTAAAAATATATCCATATCCATGCATCCATCCGTTATCTGACACGCTTGTCCCGAGGGGGGTCGCGATGGGTGCTGGTGCCTATCTCCAGCAGTCAATGGGCGAGAGGCGGGGTACAGGTCGCCAGTCCATCGCAGGGCAACACAAAAACAAACAGGACAAACAACCATTCACACACACACTCACACCTAAGGACAATTTAGAGCAGCCAATTAACCTAACAGTCATGTTTTTTGGACTGTGGGAGGAAGCCGGTAACCTGACAACAGCCAGATGCATATTCGAACCCAGAACCTTCTTGCTGCTATCCACTGCGCCACTGAGCAGCCCTATATATAGATAGATAGATAGATAGATAGATAGATAGATAGATAGATAGATAGATAGATAGATAGATA